AACTGACTTGTAAAATTGTTCGGAGAGACGAAATGGGCACTCATCCTGTTCTTGATGTCCGGGAAAAACGTGTATGTTTGTCCTTCCCTTGGAGGAGTTCTCCCATCTAGACTGCCAATCCCTGAAAATTTCTTCATCAACCTGCCTTTGTATCGCGCGCTTAATCTTCGTGCCTTCCAGTTTTCGCGTAGCTATCTCGGTGTCCCTATTTTTCTTAATGTCGTATAATCTCCTTCGTTTAAGTAACTGGAGATCTATCGGGGGCTCCGCTGCTACGATGCAGAGGGATTCCGTAGCGGTTATGCGATACGCGGATGTGACCGAGATAAGGGCCGATCTTTGGGTTGCGCTTAACTTTTTGAGGTCCCCTTCGGTGCAAAGATTAGACCATCCTGCTGCCGCGTACGTGAGCGTGAGAAAGAACACGCCGCGATAGATCGCATGGAGGGCGCAGTGACGGAGTCCCCATTCCCTAGCTGCTAGCCTATCTAGCTTTGTGAACAATGGGCCGACCTTGTCGTTAAGGTAACGGCAGCGTGTCGTGAGCCTCAGCTCTTTATCGAAATATACCCCGAGGTATCTAACAGAATTCCTAAATGTAACGCTATTGTCCCCTATCTTTATGGTGGGAGGCATACTAGCTAGATCGGTCTTTTTCGCCGTTTTCCGCTTTCTATCCGGACATTTATATCTCCCCTCCTACCGATAGGTTTCCTTTTCACTTAGTCGCTTTTAAAGACGATCGCTTCCGTCTTTCGCTCAGAGATTGACAATTTCGCCGACGTGCACCTCCGGTGATGCAATTTACCACGCGATTTCCTTTCTCTTCCAGTTCTTTCCTAGAGTCTCTGTCTATGATGAGGAGTAGGTCGTCCGCGTACGCGATCGCGTTGACTTCCTGGGATTCCTCCAGTATTCTGAGGAGCTGGTCGAACATGAGATTCTAGCAGGAGGGGCCGAGGACCGATCCTTGTGGGCATTCTCTCGAGGCCTGCTTTAAAATCTCATGCTCTCCCAGGGCGATTTTGACCGTACGATCCGCGAAGTAGCTTGTCATCACGTTAAACACGTTTCTTGGGCAGTCCCGATCTTAGAGGACTAGAGGCTACCAAACGTTGTCGAAGGCTCCTGAGATGTCGAATAACAATGCGATGATATATCTCCGTGAAGAGGCAGAAACGATTCGACGCATCTCTACGATAGCGTCTTCTGTGGAACGTCCCTGGACAAATCCAAACTGTTTGTCTGATATTTTTTCTGGCGCGAGGGAGGTTTCGGTAAGGCGCAGCTACAGCAGCCTTTCCAGAACCTTCTCTATGACGGAGAGAAGGCATATCGGTCGATAGGACTTAGGGTCTTCCGCGTCTTTGTTGTCACCCTTCAGGAGTGCATCCTTAAGGAGCCCTCTTTTCAGCTAAATGGGAAGATACCTCATTGAAGGCATCCGTTGAAAAGATCAACAAATTTGGTTGGGATAACGGCGAATGGTTTCTTGAGCACGCACACCTCGATAAGATCCGGTCCCGGGGCATTACCGTTTTTGAGGAACCCTATGACCCGTGCGACCTCTTCCTCCATGAAGAGAGGGACGTCCGTCGTTTCGGGAACGTTCCTCGAGAGATACCGTATCGCTCGCTGTTCTGGTGTGTCTTCGGATACGCAGTCATCCGGGACATCCGTATCGAAGAGGACCATAGCCGTGTCTCGGAAATTCGTGGTCTTCCTTCCGTCTCGTTTAAGAATATTGATTGCTCTTTCGAATCGCAGTTTGCCCGCCTGTTGTTTGTAGACATACCCCCACGGTTTCGCGTTGCCCTGCTCCGTAACGAATTTCCTCCAACTATCTACTTTGGCACGTCGTACTTCTTTGCTGTATGCCCGCAGCATAGAACGTTAATCGCGCATTAACCCGAAGCGCGCCTGATATTCTGTTTCCTGTTAAAGCGTACGTCTCAATCTAGCTACCGCTTTCTTCTTGATCGTAAGCGCTCTGGTCCACCATGTGTTGGACTTCCGGTGAGCCTTTTTTCAGGGCATAGATTCATAGCAGGCGGTTTGTAGGACACTAGTGAGCACGTTGGCTCGTGTCTCTACTTCTGAAGCCGATCCTAAACTTCTTCCCTCTAGCTTTGCCGCGGTGAGGGAGAGCAAGCGCTCAGCGAACAGTTCCCAGTCGGCTCTCCTGATATTGAACCTCCTGTTCCCCGCGCCCCGAACACAGCCCCCCTGGCCCGACTCGGCCTTTGGGGGATGTGTCGCGATGTCTATAGAGTTGTGGTCATTGGACGTCCAATCTGTTCTTACTTTCCATTGACCAATAAATCGGCTCATGGATTGCGACGAGAGGTGATCGCGCGTTGGCATCCAGTGATACTATTACTCTCTTTCCCCTTAGGGCACGAAGTACCGATTCCAAGTGCCTAAGGTGCTCCTCTATTTCGTTGCTGTACTGGAAGTAATGAGAGATGACGTAGAAGGAGGAGCCGGTTGCTTGCACCTGTGATCAGTGCGGAGTGCTGAGCTGCGAGATAAAGAGCAACGCGATGTTCGGGTTGATCGCCGCAACCGCAGACCAGGGTCTTTTATCGCGAATAGCAGCAATTCTTGTTCCGTTATCTAATCCTGTAATCTCGTATCCTGTCCCTTGCTTTTGGACGTACGGCTCCTGTAGAAGCAGGACGTCCAAGCGCTTTTGGCTAATCAGTTCCCGCACTTTGCCTGTTACCGTTTTAGAACGTCCCATATTTAGCTGCAATAAATGAATTTTTGAGAACGCATGATTTACGGGAAGGGGAGGGCCTTGGCCGAAGTCATTTCGTTACCGCAGGTGGATGCGCAGGGTTCTGCTAAAGTGACCCGCAGTGCTTCGAGTTGAAGATCCGTGCCTATCGCACCGGTGGTTTCGCGTGTGTTGTCCCCTTCGTGAGTTGCCGATGGGGCGTAACTTATTTCGAGGGTTGTTTCCGATAGTTCCCGGGATGTATTCGTGCGGTCTTGAGACAAGAAGACTTTTTCTCAAAAGTTTGATAAAATTAAAAGATATATTAGAATTAGTTCACACAGATGTTAGTAGATTTATACAGACCATAACATTAGAAACGAAGTATCAAAGTATTAACATTAATTGACAATTCTATTGGATCGTTCGGAAAGTCATTTCATTTTTCTTTGTGGAAATGAAAGACAATTTTCGTATAATGAATAAATATTTTATTAAATTATATTTTGGCCATTCTGGTCCAATACCTTTTGCCATCTTTTTGGTAGTAGAATGATTCCACGCTCATAAAATTTTTGGTCTTTGCTGGCAAAAAACTGATCGAGGTGGTTTTTGACCTCCTCATTTGAAATGAAGGTTTTACCGTCTAAAAAATTTTTCAGTGACCGGAACAAATAATAATCCGAAGGTGCTAGATCTGGAGAAAATGATGGTTGTGGCATTGTATCCCATTCAAGTTGTAAAAGCTTTTGGCGAGAGACTAAACTTGTATGAGGTGTCGCATTATCTTGGTGGAACACTACACCTTTTCTGTTGATTAATTCTGGCCTTTTCTGTTGAAGTGCATCATTCAGTTTGTCCAGCTGATGACAGTAGACTTCCAAATTAATTGTTGTGTTATCCAGTAAAATCTAAAAAAAACGATTCCTTTAAAATCCCACCAAACAGACAGCATCACCTTTTTTTGATGGATATTGGCTTTGGAAATGCTTTGAGCCGGTTCATCTTTCTTGCTCCATAATCTCTTGCGTTTGACATTGTTATATACAACCCATTTTTCGTCCCCAATAATGCTGCGCTTCAAAAATGGATCATTTTCGTGACGTTTGAGAAGCGAATCACAGACGTCAACACGACGACACAAATTTCTCTCCGTGAGAACATGGGGGGAACCCATATATCGAGCTTCGGGGTTAAACTCAGGCCTTTCAAGTAGTCATAAACAGTTGAATTTGATAAATTTAACCTCTTACCGATCTCACGTATTGTTATTTACCGATTTGCATTAACTAATGTCTTTATCGTGTCTTTATCAGCTTCAACCGGCCTTCCAGAACGTGGTGCATCTTCGACATCAAAATAGCCGGATCGAAATTTTGCAAACCAGTTCTGGCACTGGCGTACTGTCAACACATCTTCTCCATACAGATCAGTTAATTTCTTTCTGGCTTGAACAGCATTTTTACCTTTTCTATAGTAAAAAAGTAAAATATGACGAAAATTCTGCTTATTGCTCTCCATATTTAAAAGGGCACCAATCAAAAACTATTGCGTAGAATCAATTGGACTTTTTCACACACAAGCCTTGCTATATCAGCTCTCAAAACATATAATGATTATGCGGCTTAAGTGTGAAGTTAGGTGCAAAAAAATATAATTAAATCCTCTGTCGGGAAAAAACGAAATTACTTTTCGAACAATCCAATAGTAGGTACACAATATATCTGCTAGATTAAAAATTAGAAGTAACAAACAAGATTAAAGATTTTATACAGGAAATAAAGATAAAGTCCAATAAAGTTCTTAAAATGTAAAGACTATGTAAAGATTATCCAGATAAGGTAAAGATTATGTAAATAAAAAATTAAAGGATTTTTGTAGACAATAAGGTATCAAGAGTTAATATGCAGCTAGTTACACACCAGAACATAATGGAGTTGTAGAAAGAAAGAGTAAGTCCTTAATAGAAATGGTGAGATGTCTCTTAATCGATAGAAGACTCGGGAAGAAGTATTGGAATGAGGCTATCCACTTTGTCAATTATTTGCAAAATTGACTAATCACTAGACTGCGTGTATAACTCCAATAAAGAGATGTGTGGTTGGCAACTAAGTGATTGCGGATTTTGTTGATAGATGGACTTTACACTTTCTTTTGTTTTGTTAACGTAGTCATTGCATCTAACCTATATTTTTTTCTTATTATTTGGACTTCTACCTTTAATTTAGTAAAAAAATTATATCGATTAGTGCTTTAGTTTTGTTTTTATCCCAATTTAAAAATGGAAGAACAAGACGTGCACTTCAGATATATTTTATTGTATTAGTTCCGAAAAGGCAAGAACGCATCGCAAACACAAAAGAAGTTATGTGCCGTATATGGAAATGAACCCTTGAAAGAAAGGCAGTGTCAAAATTGATTTGCCAGATTTCGTTCTGGTGATATTTCACTGAAAAATGCTCAACGATCTGGCCGTCCAGTTGAAGTCGATGAGGTCCATATTAAAGCCATTATCGATTCAGATCGTCATAGTACATCACGTGATATTGTGGAGAAGCTCAATGTACCGCATACATGCACTGAAGAAAAATTAAAAATGCTTGGTTATGCCAAGAAACTCGATTTATGGATCCCTCAGCTTAAGTAAATTCATTTGACGCAACGCATTAGCATCTGCGATTCGCTTCTGAAACGCAACGAAATTGATCCATTTCTGAAAAGACTGATAACTGGCGACGAAAAGTGGATAGTTTATAACAATGTTACTCGGAAAAGATTGTGGGTGATGCAAGATGAATCAGCCTAGACGACATAAAAAGTTGAGATTCACCAAAAAAAGATTATGCTATCAGTTTGGTGGGATTGTAAGGGAATTCTGCACTTCGAACTTTTATCAAAAACCAAACGATTAATTCAAACGTGTACGTTCAACAACTCGCTAAACTAAGCGATGCAGTTCAAGAAAAGCGGCCAGAATTGGCAAATCGTAAGGGTGTTGTTTTCCAACACGATAATGCAAAGCTCCACACATCTTTGGTCACTCGCCAAAAATTATTGGAACTAGGTTGGGATGTTGTTACATCCATCATATAGCTCTGTCCTTGCGCCTTCAGATTACCATTTATTTCGTTTCATGCAGAACTCCTTAAACGGTAAAATTTTTAATGACGCTGGTGATCTAAAATCACATTTAATTCAGTTTTTTGCTGGCAAAAATAAGAAGTTTTATGAACATGGAATTATGACACTGCCTGAAGGATGACAAAAAGTCATCGATAAAAACGGACAATAACTAATTGAATAAAGTTATACTTTTAAGCAAAAATTTTGAATTTTCCTTCTTATTTAAAATCTGCAATCATTTAGTTGCCAACCCAATATGATATAATTTGAAGCAGGGTTCAATACATAATTCCACGTTACACTCTTTACATTCGAATCGTGTTTCGGTTCGCTTTTTGTGCTTGCTGCAAACTACATATTTTCGGCGACCGTTCTGCCGGATTCCTGTAGGATTGATATATTTTTATGGAAAATGTCCTGGAACCAGTCGTAAAAGATTATCTTTGGATGCAGTTTGGCCACCGCACTTATTGCTGTATACATTTTCATTTGGATATTTTAGTAAAATTTCTCGAATGAGACATAAATGACATTTCGCAAATGTTATGTTCTTTTTGAATGTAATTTTGTAGAGTATGTAAGTATTATCAATGGAAAGGTCCAGCATGTGGAAAAAGAATTTCTTATACCACTTCAAAGTTTTTCGAATAGTATTAATTGAATTTAAAGCCATATTTGTTTTGTCAATTGCTCCCATAACGCGATTATAGTCTACAATAACAGTTGGTTTTAATATTGGTGTTCCTGTTACATCTTTTTTTTTGTTTCTATATACTCAGCAGAATGATAGCTTGATAACATTAACACTTCTCTTTTGTCCATCCATTTTAGTGCTAATAGTTTATCCGTAGACTGAAACGCAATTTCGCCTCTGCATAATTTATTAGGTATACTAGGCACTCCACGTTTGGTTTTCCTCATTATTCCAAATGCATTTGTTTTATTATGATATAGGAGCGAAAATAATGCCGGGGTTAAGTACCAGTTATCAGTGACCAAAACATGACCTTTATTTAGATATGGTTCCATCAGCGTCATAACAATATTCCCTGATTTGCCAATCTCTGCTAAATGATTGTCATTTATATCCGTGCGTGCTCCACAATAAACAATAAAATCTTCGATATATCCTGTATGACAGTCGCAGATAACATACGACTTTATACCAAATCTACTTCGTTTTGAAGGTATATACTGTTCGAAAAAACATCGATTTTTGAAAAGCAGCAAGTTTTCGTCGATGCATAAATGCTTATACGGGTAAAATGCCCGTGAAAAAGAATTACGCAGTCTGTCGATGATGCTCCGTATTTTTATTAGCGCATCTGGACTTGTCTCATTATTGTCGTGGAAGTGCAACATTTGTAATAGAGCTATATATCTGTTTTTTTTTCATTATTCTTGGAATACTTTCTGTGCATATTAATTTGTCGGTTGACCAATATTCGTCTATTGATAATTTTTTTATTCTTGACATTAACATCGACAGAGCAAAAAATCGATACATTTCGGTCACTGTTGTATTTTTCCAAGACATCAATCGCGAGTGACTACTGCGTATAGTTTTCGTGGTATAATAATTATTGGTTTCTCTCACAATATCTTCAAGCTTATTTTCGGAAAAGAAAAGTTGAAAAATTTCTAATATTGACGATTTATCGTTAATATTTGCTTTAATCCCCTGATAGAGTTTCATCAAAATCAAAAACTTTCAGAATTAAATTTTGTGCGCTCCAAAGAAATTGCCGTGGATCGATGTCAGGTAATTCGTCAATATTTTCGGAATAAGATTCCGAGCTACTTGATAATATGCATCTCTTGTAGTATGAGTTTGCTTTTTACCTTTGTATAGAACTTCTCCAAAAATTGCAGAAAGGTCAGAATCCGATGATTCTTCTATATCACCGCAGATCATATTTATCCATGATAGAGGATTTATCCGTTTATCCATGATAGAGGCACAATTTATGGATAAAATTATTTAATTATACGAAAAAATCTCTGCACAAAAAGCGTATGCAGCTAACGCATCGAAGATAAACGAATTAATGGTCATTATTTTGCAGTTATATTTCTAATCTTTATAATCGTAGTTATTAGTTTCATTTTGTTATTTATTTCCGTTTGTTAATTTTTATCACTTATTTTATGCTGAATAAATCAAAATCGTTAAAAAAGTTAAGTGTCGAATATCCAACATCGCTTTCGCACTATTATTCTTCAGCCATCACTAGCAAGAGGGAACAAGTCAAGGGTTGGTAGCCGAGTCTAGAGTGTACGAAGGGAAAATAGAATCGTGGAACGATATTCGAAGCCCTCTCATCATTACATCGAATAAGGTAAGTTAAAGTAAATCTTTCTTAGTGGAGTTTGGCTGCTCTATTGTGAAGAACATAAAAAGAACCTCGCTCCCGTGTAAGATTCCAAAAGGATTGACCGAAAAAGGCGAGTGACTAGGCTGGTGCAATTGGGAAACTGCAGGCATTTTGGTTGCTCTACAGCCATTCAAGACCCAACTGTTGACGTCACAAAGGACAAAAGATTTTATTCCGAATCTATTCCTCTTCAATGAAATAAATTGTTTAAAAGATATTCTGCCTTTATATAGAAGAAGTCTTTCATCTATATAAAGGTTTTGGTATAGAATACATCACTAAATGAGCATTTTTTCATTATTTGCATTAGTTGCATACTTTGATATTTTTATATTCCATCATAAAGAGAACAAAACCTGAACTATTTATTAATATTTAAAATAGATCTTCTAGACTTAACAATTTACCAACCTGGTTCAATTATTTTTCTGAATGTAATGTTATTGCTGATTAATTACTTTATTTTTAACTATGATATTTCACAAAAAGATAGAAAATGAATACACTTTACTGGTGCCAACAATTTTTTCTTGTGCGTTAATTTTTTACGTTAAGTTTAATTTGCGTATCGTTATTACAAATATCAGATTTAATCGGCATTATTCACTATAAAACATTTGAATTAATAGTGAAAATCAAATATAACTGGCTCTAGCCACTTTTACAATAATTGTTTTAACATAGTGGACACCGGATATAACCGGTGCTAGCCAGTGTGAAGTATTTATTGAATGCGGGATATATCTATGCTAGTCCTGAAAGGGTTCATGAATCACAGACTTTCTTTGAGGTTTCACATATTAAGATTAAGGAGTCTAACCACTCAGAGCGCTCGGAAAATAGGCTTATCTTTAAAAATCTATAAATTAAAAAATTTGTTATTTTTGGTCATATTGCAACTTATAACTTAAACAATCTATCATACAAAAATTATTTAAAAATATAAAAAAATAGCGATGCTGCAGCTGATGCCATATAGGTTCTCCGTTAGAAAACGTATTGTTGACCGAAAGTAAATTTCTGTAATGGCGTATCTAAAAAAAAATTATTTTCTTATCTGTGAATATTGTGGCTATAATATAGAGTACCGATTTTTTTTCTTGAGAAATGAGCGGTAAATAAACGAAATACTGTTTTTGCACAGAAATTTGACAACAAAAAAATTAATATTAAAAAACCAATTAACATATTGCCAAAATCGTACGTTACTTTGTAGATAATATATTTGAGAGTATTGTGTTCAAATTTCAAGCTAATCAGTCTGGTAGTTGTCGAGATTTCTTTATGATTAGATCGAAAAACAGTATCGAGAAAAACGCAAAAGAAAATGTCTGGTTATTTGGGTGATAGTCCTTTCTTGTTCACATTTAATCAGTGAATTCTGGTCCATATGACGTTCTTTCAGCAGCAGAATGAACATCTTGAAATTCTTTCCGAGATGATCTACGACCTTGGCGAGCGTCTTTCCTATTTTCTTGCGCTCTGATCTCCACGGTATCGCAACGCTATTTGTCGATATTCATAGCAGTTCGTAGCAGCGATGCCCGATTTACAGGTGCATCAAGTTCATCATCGACAGGATGTTTTTATAGTTATCGTTAAAAATACTGGCAATAACATTCGACAATTCTTGTACCTTGTAACTTGAATTGATTTTTGCCATTCGACGAATTTATATGAACCTTAGTTCGGATGAATTGTTGAAGCGGTGTGAAGTAGGTTTCACTTAAATTAATAAAGAGAATCTCAGCTCCGTTATTTGGTCGATGGCATTTTGAACGATTAGAGATAAAGGATTCTCATATTCATATTCATCCAAAGTACCGATCGCTTTCGATTTTTACCAGCAGCACCACAAGTTTTCTCCAGGAGGACAATTATTATGTTGTGACTTTTCGTCGGTCGAAATCTTATGGTAGAATGTCGCCCAAATAGCTTTCTTCATTTCGTCTTTGGAATGAAAAAATCTTCGAATGGCAAGACTGTAGTATTTTGTTAGCTCATTAATTAGCTTATAGTTTATCAGTTTTCTTCTGCCATCAAGTTCCATCAAGTCTTTGTTTACTTTTTTGCGTTACAAAGTTATGTGTTCATTTTTTTCTGCACATAATCAATGCATTTTTTTTTGTCATTTTTACTTCATTTTACA